TCCACACCCCTTTCTCCCTGGCTCCTTCCTACCTCTTTGGCTTCTTCTTAGTCCGTTTTACAGGTTATTTTCTCTGTCATCCAAAAATGAACTCACCATCTTTACAGCCAGACCTGTCCCTGCCTTAAAGGTCACTCATGACGCAGCTTCTGCCCACCTCCCCATGTCACCCAAGCCTCCGCCACTCCCTCCCTCGTACTCCACGCCGCAGCCAGACTGGGCGCGTTCCAGGTGCTCCGAGTCACTGTGCTGGTGCTCACCTCCTCACCTCTACACATGATGTTCCCTCTGCCTGAAACGCTTGAACTCATGAGCGCACATTCACACACACACACACACACACCTTTCCCTACATTAGTCCCTCTTCCCACCTCGTCCCCCAGGGTGCCTTTTCTGATTCCGCCTCTGTCCCCTCCAACTGCGCGCCTTGCTCCTGCTCCGCACCACCAGAGAGCCCTCTGGACTCCTCACCTTGCTGTGAGTGTCACACACTCTGTGGCATGCCTGTCCCTAAGTGAAGTGTCACACACTCTGTGGCATGCCTGTCCCTAAGTGAAGTGTCACACACTCTGTGGCATGCCTGTCCCTAAGTGAAGTGAATTCAATTTCTCCTTCTGAAAAATGAATTTTATGAACAGTGAATGGAGAGATGCTCTGAGAAATAGCCCCAAAAAACACATTGATGTGTGCCCTGTGAGAATGTTATCAAGGATGTTGTGATCATTTTTCTAGAGGCTTCTTTTTGAAAACCTGGGGTGGGGTGCTTCTTTTTGCTCTTTGATTTAGCAACAATGCTGCCTCTCCTTAATAAGACTGTTTTCCCATAGGTACATTTTCACTTGTGTAAGAATTATGTGATCCTTGTTATATTGGCTGCTAGAAACCTGAAAGCTAAGTGGAGCCCTGGTCTTTACAGTATGAATTTCATGAATTTGTCTCATTTCTGCATTTCATACCTACTTTCAAATTACAATTTCAAGTTAACCTGCCATACGTCATGGTTACACAATTGTAAATGGACTTAAATCTTTTTTGGAATAAGATCAGGTATAATCAATCAAAGAAATGAAGTGATAATAGAGTAGAAAGTTGAGCAAAGTGGCATCTAAATGCTGAAGGGATGGACCAGTTAGTATTCTTTAATTTGCTAGTCACTTAAACCTCAAACTGGCTTAGAAGACAACAAATATTAATTTAATCTGAAAAGTTCACTGGCAGTTTGCTTTCAGGTAGAGTTTGATCCAGGAGCTCCAAAAAGATCCACTGGGGTGGAGGCTGTCTGTTTGGGTCACTGTGGAATTTCGAGTGAAGACTGCAAAGTGGTGGCCAGTGCGTAAGTGCTCAGTATATACTCACTGACTTTGTTGTGAAATTCCTAAAAGGTCCTGCAGAATCCCAGAGTCACATGTCTATCACTAAACCAATCTTTTGATCAGGGGGATCTGGAGCTCTAGTTTTCCAGGTCTAGGTCACATGATCCTAACAGAAAAACCAGGGAGGAGTCTCCAAACAAACTATGAGCCCTGACAGTGTGGGAAGGTGGTCACCCAAAGGAAAGCTGGGCGTTACGAAGAAGAAACCTGCTAGGCAGACAAAGCAACAAACATGAGCATCAATAGACTTGACACTTGATATTCCAAGTATCAAGAAGGTAATACTTGAGTTGAATTTTAAAAAGATAAGCAGGAATTAGCTAATAAGGAGGGCAGTTATCAGTGGGTATTTTTAAAGCACAGAGGCATAAAATAGCTTGATGCTTTCAAAGAATTGTAAACAGTTTAATATGGTCAGAGCAAACAGGGTGTGGAGAGGCAGGGAAAGAAACTAGAGAGAGAGGTGGAGTGCAAATATGAGGGACCTTTCAGGTTAATCCAAAGAGGGTGCACTCAATCCAGAAAGACCTGGGGAGCCTCCAGAGGATTTCTAGCAGGGGAACATGTCTTCCAGCTAATCCTACGCAGGTCATTGCAGGTCAAGACCGATTCACGTGGAAACTCTTGAGTGGGGCTAAGTCTGCAAGTCAGGGAAAGGAGTTCCAGACTCGGCCAAACACAGGGAACTGGGATCACAAAAAGCCTGGGAATCAAACAGAGCCCGTCAGTGCTATCAGGCTTGGCATTTACTGGGATTGCCATAACAAACTCCTGCAAAATGTGTGCCTTATGCAACAGAAATGTATTGTCTATGGTTCTGGAGGCTGGACAGGTTTCTGGCAGTCCCTTGGCTGGTGGCTGCACGGTCCTGATCGCTGCCTTCATTTCACAAGATGCTCACCCCATTTGCATGTCTGTCTCCAGATTTCCCCTTTTCATAAGGATTCCAGCCATATGGATTAGGGTCACCCTACTGACCTTGCTTTAACCCGATTACCCCTGGAAAGACCCTATCTCCAAAGGTTACATTCTGAGGTGCTGTCTTTGCAGGACACAGCTCACCACATAAAAGTATCATTTAAAAAGTGCACTTGTTATCAGGGCTTTAAAAGAAGAGTAGACATTCCCTGGGGGAACTGATTTGCTTATAAAAGGTATAGTACCATGTTTGTTTGTAAAGACAAAGAAAACAACATCATTAAGATCAGACCACCAGAAGCAACCCAATAGTCCACAGTGGAGAATGGATTTCCAGATTCACTTTAAAAATGGTTCTTTTCCAACCTTTAGGATAACGCATGGAGGCTGATGTACGGAAGGGTGGTTTGAGAAGATGCCTTTAAACTGGCATTAGATGAACTTCCACCTTTTGGGTCTTCTGCACGCCTAGCATTCAAAGCTCCCAAAACTTCTCTGACGTAGATATTATTACCTTCAGAGTGAAGAAGCTAAGCATCCCCTAGAGGTGGACTACATGATTCTAGGCTACATTTGGTAAGCGGTGTTGCTGGAGATTTGACTTCAGACTGGTCTGACTGCAAGTTGTCACACACACCACCCAAAGGAATTTTATCCGAGTCCTGCTTGAAGACCAAGGGTTCGCATTTGTATTGGATCCAAAGGATGCTGCCCAGCACCCCATCCAAAGAGGAAAGAAGCCTCTTGAGGGAACAGCTGAGTAGGCCCTGCAGTGTCCAACATGTTTTCAACAAATGAAACCTTTGTGAAGTCACAAAGCTATTACATCCCCCAATATCAGACTTATTTCTTATAAGAAAGTAGCATTTTCCCCAATTAACAGGGAGGTCCAAATGCAGGCTTTATAAATATTCTTTCCATGAGCTTCTCTATACCCAATTCTGCCCGCTACAAATGCGTTCAGGTCCCCTGAAGAGGACTTTCTCATGAAGACGCAGCTGTATGAGTTCAGTGACCCTGTCTTCCACTCCATCCTCCATTGATTCTACCCCAGTGCGTCATTCAGTTCCTTGGGAAACTGCTTTCATCGAAGGTCTTGATTGAAACAATAGACAGGCACCTAAAGAAACTAACAAAGAAAATGGACCCTTTGCCCTTAAAAGTACTAATTTTCACTACCTCTCTGGGTAGAATAAATCATTTTGTCAGTCTTCTTGGGCAGTTCTGGAGGTTAGGTAGAAGCTAAAAATTTGTAGCTTAATAGAAGTATTTGTAACCCTGGCAAGAAAAACAGACACAACTTACGCGGGCAACGCCAATAAAATGCTGACGAGCAAGACAGCCTAGGTTGTCTCCCCTCAGATTCTCAGTTACAAAGAGCAGGAACACGCGGAGGTAATTCAAAAGCAACAGCCTGTTCCTGAGCGATCTGTGCTCAGAGGATTCGAAGCACAGCCCATGTATCTAGAGAGGAGAGAGAGTCTACAGTGCGTATCTGAGTCAGACTTGGAATCACAGAGCCCAGCACGGAGGCCAAGCATTTCCTTAGATTTGTGTCTTCCCTCCTGCTTTTGCCTTTAGGTGTCATCTCCTTACATCCACTTTTCCATTGCGTCCATGTTTGCTGGGTGTTCCCTTGTTTCACGGCCCCAAAAATTGAGGAGACTCTGTGCTCTGAAAAATTCTGAAACTGGCAGTTCTGATTTTTCTTAAAGAAATAAAAATGGCATTGATCAACGACCCCACGCCCAACACACACACACACACACACACACACACACACACACACACACACACACACACACGCTCATCTTCCTGTTAGGTGACACAGGACCCTAGAGGCTTGCTGGAGTCGGGGAGAGATGCGCGCGCCCAGCCTTGCAGGGACACCTATCAAGTGGGGTCAGCAGCTGCCTGGGGCCTGCCCTCTGCAGCCTCCAGGGAGAAGGTCCCCACGCCGTGTGAGCCTCACCGACCTGGGACTGGAAAGGGTGAGCGGCTCTAAGGTGACACAAATGTCAGGGCAGAACTGTCCACGGCCGGCCCCAGCTCATCCTGGGATAACGTGCCGGGGAGCCGGCCCGCGGCTGGGCAGAGCCCCCACACCCCGCTCCCCGCACTGGGAGGTTTCAGAGGGAGCCGGGACCGCGGCGGGGGGGCGGGGGGAGCCGCCCAGAGGCGGCCCTGCGCTCCCTGCTCGAGGCCGGACAGCGGCCCGCGGGCTCCCGCGCCGGAGCCTCGAGCCCCGGAGGCCCCGCGCCGCGGGCCGGAAGGCATCGCGCCTGCAGTCGCCCCTCCGCCCCCGTGCCCCGCGCACCCACTGGAGGGGAACCCAGACAGGCGAGCCCCAAACCGTTTGATCCGAGGAAATTGGGTTTGTTTTTTCCCCTTCACCCTTCCTGTCTTCCAGTCCATCAGGACTGTGGACTTTAAACAAGCGTAAAACCGGGGGCGGGGCAGGGGAGACGAGCTGTCCGGGGCACCCCAGGCTGCGGCCGCGGGGGAGGCTCGGGGCGGCCGAGCGCGGGCGGGGGACACGCAGCGGCCTGGATCCAGCGGCTGGGTCCGCGCTCCGCGTTTTCTCCCGCTCCCGGCGTGGGGGGCTGGGGGCGGGACCTTCGGGGCGGGGCCTGGTGGCCGGGGGCGGGGCCTGGGCGGGGCCTGGGGAGGGGCGGGGCCGGCCGGGCCGGGGTCCGAACGCTCAGCCCGCAGCCCCGCCGCCCGACAGCGCGCCCGGGACGGGCCGGCCTGGCGCCGCGCGCTGTCCTCCCCGAGCGGCGCTCGGCCACTGTCTGGGCTCCGCGCGGCCGGCGCGCCGCCACCCTCGCCCGCCGGTGACGCGGCGCAGAGCGGCTCGCAGCCCTGCGGCGGCGCGAGGACCGTCCGGCCGAGGCCTCGCCTGCGCGGTGAGTGGCGCCCGGCTCGGCGAGGGGCTGCGGGCGCGACGGCGGGGCGGGCGCGGGGGGCGCCTTCGGGGCCTCTGCGCGGGGATGCGCTGTGCCCGCGCCTGGGCGAGCGGCGGGGACGCGGGACACGCGGTCCTGGGCTTGCGGGCCGGGCGGACACTGGGCTGCTGACCCGGCCACCCTGCCTGGACCCGCTCCTGCCGGAAACCCGGCCCGCCGCCCCGGAGTTGGCGCGGAGAGGCGCGCGGGGCTGTCACCTGCTGGCGTCCGCGGGGAGGGCGCGGACATCCCCGAGGGCTCCGCCGAGGGCCCGGGGCTGCGGGCGGGTGGCTGCCGCGCCGGCAGCGCTGCTGCGGAGATGTAGCGCGTACGTGGAGAGGATGGGAGGGTGGGGGACAGGGGATGGGGGATGGGCAGGGCGAGGAGGACGGGAGGTGGGAGGGGGACGGGGGAGGAGGGGGCGGAGTGGGTGCTGGGGGGTGGGGGAGGATGGGGCGCCCTCCTCCCTGGAGGCAAACTTGAAGAGACCCGGCCTGTTAGTAATTAGCAGGACCGGGACCCGGGGTGCCGCAGGGAGCCGTTAAATGTCCACTGCCCTCTAAGAAAAGCAAACGGAGTCGTCAGTGGCTGGTGGCAGTGCCGCGTGATGTGGGACTTGGGGAAATCGTCGGCAGATGGTCCTCAGGAGGCTGAAGAGCGACTCGGGGGCGGGGGTGGGGAGTTCGCCTAGCCCGGTGCCGGTGCCCGGCTCGCCGAGGGAGGATTCCGAGTCACAAGCCACGCACGTTTGGCTGCTGACTGCGGAGAGCCCGGAGGCAGAGCTGCGGCCCCCAGCAGGGGAGGAGCGCGCCGCGGGGCCCTGCCTGAAGGAGAGGACCGCGCAGAGACCTCGCGGCTCCGGAGGCCCAGTGCATGGGGTTCTGAAAAGCGCGCACGCGTACGCGGCTTCAGGACGCAAGTAACCGTCCGTAAGGACGTGGCATCTGTGCCTGCCGTACAGTTATGCCTGCCTCCCGATCGCAATAGGTCGTTCAGAGGCTCCGGCAGCTGATGTTGTATAATTGATGTGGGTCCCCATCCGATATTTTTTAATGTACCTTTGGAGTAAAGGCAACTTCCATCTGTCCCTTTAGACAGGCCTGTGGTGCAGACGGCCGAGGGCTGCAGAATGTTTGCCCAGGTCCGGCTCCAGATGTGTGAGCTCAGCTGTTGCCTGTCACTTAGGTGACAACTGGCCTTTCCCCACTAAGCCTTTGCTGTCTCCGTTCTCCTCGGTGAAGTGTCAGTACACCGCCTCCTATTATCAGGGTGGACACTGGCCCCTCCGGAGGCTGCCGTCTTGTTCCACCATCCCCAACGATATGTCTGTTTTCAGATGCTGGGGGTGGGGGTGGGGGCGGGGAGGAGTCCAGTGACACAAGATAGGTACATTTTGAATGGAGCACCAACTTAATCCAAAGATTCTGTTTTAATCAAGACAGCTCTGGAAGGATGACGCAATATTTGTCAAGCCTTTTTCTCTGGAACAATATTTACTCCCACCAGGGGATTTTAAACTTAAACAGCAGCCATTTATCTTGCTGTCTGGTGGGGCCCGGTTCAGCTTGCCTCCAATGTGGTCTTCGCCTAGGTGGCAGGGATTGGTCTGGGACAGGAATCTGTCATTGTAACCCAGCTGGAGCCTGAGGAAAACAAAATACAGCACCTGCTGGTACCAGAGGGTTTCTAAATGCCATCAACTGGCCGGCCAGGAAACGCAGGAGGTATTCTACATGGTCTTCCAGAAATGTTTATACAAAGGATTTAAAGGTTAATGCCTGTGCTCTACATATTAAAACTAAGAGGTGCTCCGAATAAACGGACCGACGTTACCCACAGTTAAGAGCGCACTTGCTGATGGACTCGAAATCTCTATTTTAGTAAGCCGTGGCTAACTATAGTAACTCATTCTCTGAATAAGCCTCCTAAGGAGGGAAGCAGGGAAAGGGGGGCGGGGAAGAGGGGGGCGGGAGGAGGATGGATGGAAACCTGGGTGGTACGTAGAGGGAGGTAGCCATGTTGATGTGGGCCAATGGGTATAGTGAATTAATTTTTCCATCCTTAATTTGGTAATTATTGGTGATTTATCACTGAGTGAGCCTGTTGGTTTGTACGTTTTTTTAAAAAAAGCCATTTATTTTACTAAAGTGACAGATTCAATCAGTTCTGTCAACAATACCAATGAAACTTAATGAGTTTATCATGTTTTTATAGTCCAGGTCCATGGAAATACCATTTGTCTCTATAATGAAGGGGGTTGTAATGAGTCACCAAATAAAATCTAATATCATCTGGGGAAGCAAAAAAATACAAAACCTTTACAGGGCTAATCACTAAGCTATTAAGTTTAGAGTCAGATGTGGGATGTGGGTAAAAGTCTGGTCATTGCTAATATCCTCTCCTTTGATAACTTTGAAAAGGCACGAAAGAAAAAAGGTTGGATTTTGAAGTTTCTTTAATTAAGGATATTTGAAAGTAAGCTGTAATCTAAGTTTTAAAAAATGACATCATAATTTCTCTAAAACCTTTTACAATTACTTGAAAGCAAAACACAGTCAAATATTATGAGCAACTATTCAGTACACTGATGAAACGGGACAAGCATCTTCAAAAATTATTTTCCAGTAACTAAGAACTCCATTAATGGCTCATGCCTATAGTTTGGACTGTCCAATAGTATGAGAAACCATTTTCAGGAAAGAAATCATTGCTGGTATTCTGGTCCCTGCAGTTGATTTCCTGGTTAAAGTACTTTGCAGGGTAAATTACTCTTTTAAAGAAGGAAAGTAATTTTAAAGGTCAAAGTGATCCCCATCTGTGCATAGAAATGTTAACGATGCCACTTGACCAGGATAGACTCTTTTACCCTGGAAAAAATGGCTCCCCTCTTTTCCCCTTCCATCTTATGTGCAGTAGCATAAATTGTTTACCTCTTATTGGTGTGAGAATATTCACTTTGCTTAAATCCCAGTGTAATTGTTCCATAAGAAAGAGGAGTTAGGAAGGTGAGAGAGAGTTGTGTTGATTGGTTGGTGTTTTAAGAGGTCATTACCACCTTTTCCGCTGGTCACAGAATAAAGCATCACCATATTGTGCATGAGTATCTTTAGAAGGTTGGTGTGAGCCTAAGTCCGGAGAGGAAAAGTGCCACAAACCAGGCTTGCAGTTTCCCGCGGCCTCAGGCAGCAGACGGAGCCAGGCCCAGACAGAGCGCTCGGATGAAGATGGCCTCAGGGCCACCGCGCAGGACTTCCCCAGGTGGGACACGGGCTCTTGAGCCACCTCAGCCACCCAGTAACCAGAAAGCACGCCTTCATGTTTACGGTTGTGTGAACTGAAGTCCAGGAGGCACACTGTACACGAGCTGGTGAGGGGACACTTTGGAGCCGAGAAAGGCCTGGCCCGAGACCGCGTGGGGCCCCATCCAAGCCTTTGCCCCCACCTTCCCGGAGAACGGTGATGTCATGACCCTCCTGGCGCACAGACAGGACAGAATACTCGGATCACTTCCCTGAGTGCCAGAATGACATGATTTTTCCAAGAACCATCCCTGAGCCAGTGGCCCACTGGCACTATTTCCAGTTGCTGGGCGAATGAGGGGCATCGAACCTCTCAAAGAGAATGGAATCATTCTTCCTGTGTCTCTGTTCTGTGTGCTTGTTTAGACTTAACTTGAAGTGCATTCTGGTCATCTTTGAAGGGACCTCTGCAGGAATAAGAATGATTGCCCAGCCTGAACTGATTAGCCCTTTCCAGTTCATTTCCCTAGAAAGAGAGACTGTAAATTTAAAATAAAAGTGTCAGCAATGCAGAAGCCAAGGTAAACATTTTTAAACTTAGAGCTGTAAACCAGCAAGCAGCTGTCATTTACCTTGATCTAACTTGTCCCCCACTCTGTCCATAAGTTTGGTCCTGTGTGATCCTAAAATACAACTGATCAGTTAAACTACCGTTGCCCTTTTCTGGCCAGTAGATTTGGGGTGACCCCTCGGGAGAGATGCCTTTCATTTCTTGTGGATTGTTACTCTTCAGGGAAAGGAAGTCAGTTCCAGGGCTGAAGTCATGTAGTCCCTTCTCAGAGTGTTGTCCCAGCTGCTGATTTATGACACCCACTCGGTTTTGCTTTGTGTATGCTTCTCTCCGTTGCCTTCGAGTCTCACTGGGTCTCTGGAAGGAAAGATGTGTCAGTGATACCGTGAAAATCCTGCGTCAGATGCAGCCGGTAAGCAGACTCCTCCGGGCAGCGCGGGGCTCCCACTCAGCTGCCCTCTTTCATCTGAGGCGCAGATCCCACAGCTCGCAATTATGGTCTTTGACTTTGGTAACAATTCTGTTTGAAATGTTTCCAATTACACACAATATTGGCGGCATGTAGCAGCTGCATGCCAAAAGGAACTTCCAAGCCTGTTCCAAGAATCAGGCCGAGATTGCTTTTAATTTAAATAAAGGCTATTTGGTTTCCTGTGAAGTTTTTATAACCACCTTCCCCACCCTGCTCCCATGTTTGTTGCCTTTAAAAAAAGAAAAGGTTGATAGAAAGTAGCTGCTTAATGTGATACAGTGTCAGCCTTGGTTTTCTAGGATGGCCCTTTTCTTGAGCAAGAACTGTTCAGTAAAGGAAGTTTTAAAGAAATGTGCAGTCATTTGGATTTCCCGAAGAAGAAAGGGGAAAGGGTTATCTGAGAGCATATTGTAAGTAGCTTATGGTTTTGAGGTTTCCCCCCTTCCTTCTTTAACATCTGTCCGTATGATTATCTCCTTAGGTGCTAGAAATGATTTGGTGCACCATCTTCCCTTCAAATTCTTCTATTTTTCTTTTCATAAGACCATGATCATGTGTTTAAAACACATTGAAACGGTAGAGAAAAGATCAGTAAGAACATTCTTAAGACCAGGAGTTGGGGGTGGGGGCGGGGGGAGGCGTGGGCAGCAAATAATCTCACCATTTTATAGCAGCCAAA